GTAACACTTTAGCTTAGACTTGAAAAGGAGGCGATGCGGAGGAAGAATATTTCCAGCATAGCAGATAGCTATGAAATATGCTTACATTCTAAAAATAAAATATAATGTTCAAGAAACAGTAAGGAAGATAGAATTATTACATCAAAAAGCATGTGGAAGAAAGTAAGGCAATGGGAAAAGTAAAAAGGTTACACATTATGAAAGACTGTAAAGGCCAAAGACAGGATTTGGTTTGGTAAGTAGAAAGAAGGTAAGCAGAAAGGCTGCCTTTCTTCTTTTTCTAGAATGCTGTCCCTTCACTTCTAACTTTTATGGGCCCTAATCACCTTCAGGCTTCAGGTCACGTCATTTCCTTTAAAACCCTCTTATGACTCACCCAGTTGGTAATGACCCCACAACAAGTTGTTTTAAGTTTGCTGTATAGATAGCATATATTTCTTAGTGAACCAATTGCAGCTCACCATAATACTTCTGAACAAGGCATTAAAGATTGAGAAGGGATAAAGTCAGATAGAGAAGTGTGTCTGTACCCAGTCAGACCAAGACTGTGCAGCATCACTGCATTGATAGTAAATAAACACCAAGGAGCATTTGCAGGCCTGTACAGAACAGCCCATAAGCAGCTATGAGAGAAAACAGTAGAAGAATTCAACTGAAGATAAAGAATGTGAAAAGAAAAGAGGAAACTTTGGGAACAAATTCCTGAGTTTGTCTGATGAGAGTGTTGATTAACACCTCAGGAGACCATAAATGGGGAAATAGATGTGTTTGGGATTTAAGGGAGTGTTTCAGACTCCTGCTTTGGGTATAATGGCTAATTTAAGAATTGAAGAATTTTGATTACTATTAGAAAAAGTGGCTGTTATACAACAGGGAAATCTGGATACCCAAAACGTGTCTAAGAAGTCTAGGTTTGTGGCATGTCTCTATGTACTGGTTATTGAATCAGTCAATAAACATTTTTTAGGCATCTACTATTGGCCAGGCACCATACTATGTGCTGGGGATTAAAAAAAAAAAGAGGCAACAGATAATCCCTATACTGAAGGAGCTCTTAATCTAATGAAAGCAACAATAAACATGCAAATGTGTTGTAAACATGCCACATGGAGGAAAAATTGGAAGTAAGAGAGGGACAGCATTACAATTAAGAGAGGTTGGGAAAAATTTCCTTTAAAAGATTGGATTTTACTTGGGTCTGTAAGGAAACCAGGGTAGCCAATAAGCAGAGAAGAGGAGGGAGACTATTCCAGGCATGAGAATTCTGATCTGAGAAATTTTATCAGTCCTGTCCCCTGGATGAATTGCAAACACATGCAGCAGATCAGAGACAGAGAGAGAGACAGACAGACAGAGAGACAGACAGAGAGAGAGAGAGAGAGAGAGAGAGAGAGAGAGAGAGAGAGAAAGAGAGAGACAGAGACAGAGACAAAGAGACAGAGAGAAAGAGAGAGAAATTCTGGTGTTTCTCCAAATCCCCTTTCACTAATGGATCTGTAACATGTCATACTTAGAACTAATACAAATTGGCAAAGGAAGTTAATTAATTGGTAGCCCCTTATGGTTTAAATTCATATTGTGTCTTTATTGCAAGTTGATATACTTCCTTCACTTAGTAAGGAGCTAATCATCCAGTAATTAGCTTTTGAAGGTATCAGGTGACAGAAATCTGACAGCAAGTGGGGTAACATAACAGATCTCTCCTATAGTAATTGGAAGGAATGGTACAAAAACAAGATTATGAAAAGCTAATATGAGAGGAGATAGGAGGGCATTAAAGATAATGGTGACTTCACAGCTTCACTTTATACTACCCTGTTTTTCGGCTTATTTTTGGTATAAGAATCAAGTTTTGGGGCATGAGGCATGTGTAGAAAGAATATGAAATAATAATAAATCTCTTTAATTACTATTGACCTAAAACAATCATTCAACAAAAAAAGGTTTCTATTTTCAAAGAACAGTGCAAAGAAATAAAGGAGATACAAAATTTCAGGCAGTAGGCTCTCTGTTTCTCATCTCTGAAGGGATATACTTAAAAGTACTATTTCTACCTGAAATTTTGTAAGATATGTCATTTAGGTACTTATGTTTTATCAGGAGACTAATCAAAATTATAGAAGTGTGGGGTATGTGGGGTGTTCAAGGAGAATTAGGTGTGAGGGCTTGATAAGCCATTTTCAGGACTGCTCATCCACCTTTGGTATCCACCTTCACTCAGCTCTCACCTGTGACACCAAGAAGCTTTAGCATGCACAGCATCCACACTCTGATAAACCACCTTGGTGGACAGGCTAAACCAAGTTAAGGGTAACCAACAGGCCTCAAACCTTCGGTGAGTTAGAGGATGTCAGCCCCAAGCATGTGATGATTCTCCCCAGAGCAATGGGCAGATGAGAACAATGGGTTCCAATGGCCATGAAGGCAGCTGAGATATGTATGTGGGGCACTTAGAGCTTGGTCAGGCATCAAAGACGGAAAGGTCATCTATTGCAATCTGGGCCATCGCCAGTCATCTTAGATTTGGTTCTGCCACTGGACTTCAATGACTTAGGAAGAGAGAGTCTGATGACTGTGTAACTGGCTCGCTTCAATCCAATTTACTCGCACGTCAAGACATCATGCTTGCTGTAACTGGTCCTCTTCCAAAATGAAGGATTAATAGCCCTGTATGTATATTTACACACATATATGTGTATATTATGTATGTATGTATGTATGTGCATGTATGTGTACATATATGCTATATATGTGTCATATGTATATAAATGTTATACCTGTGAGTGGATATAGCTGTGTGTATTCTATTTAACATATTCTCTTCCATATGTATTATGCAGATCTTTTTTTGGTTCCAGATATTTCTGCATGGCATTCTGCATTTTCACATTCCACAGTATGCAGATGAGAAGATTCAGCAGAGGTTTAAATGCTGGATCAAACATTTTTTCTCCTAATCAATAAAAATGGCATTGTGAAGGGGCACATAGAGGCAATGTAGGACACATAGGAGACAGAAAGAGGTTAAGTGAATTACCAAGTGTCACATATCCAGTAAGTATCTGAAGTCAGATTTTAACTCAGGTCTTTGCCAAGAAAACCCTAAATGGGGTTACGAAGAATTGAACAAGACTGGAAAATGACTGAACAGAGGAATAAAGTATGAGGCTGGGTCCTTAGCTAAAGGATAATGGAGGGGTGGTATTAGAAGTTTGAGGAGAGAAGAAAAAAATTAGAGTACTGTAGTCAGTAGGATAGTTCATTGATTAAGAATGTGTATAGATATTGCTTTCTTAAAATGAGGTCCCAGTTGGATTTACATAATATAAACCTGTATTCTATTCTAAACACATTTTCATGATATTCTCTGTCTCCATTTACCAGCAGATGAAGAGAATGTAAAGTATTAAATGGCAGGAGTAATTCAAGATGAATTTGTTTTACTAGGCAGGATTGTTAATCATAGTAGGATTTAGGGTATTTGAGTGTAATGGACAGCATAAAGTGCTTTACCAAGGGTGCAAGAGGAGGAGGGAAAGATAGTGTATCCAGGGTAAAAGTGATGGTCTAGGAAAGAACTGAGGGCCAAAGTGATTGAAGACCACGATTAGGATAAAACAAGATTAGAGATCATAAGGCAGAGGGAGAGATTGAATGATAGAAGATTACAGTCAGATTAAGGAATTCAAATAAAGAAATGCTGTGAAACACTTTTGGTTCATGGCAAGATCAAGAGTAATGCCAGTTTCATATTTAGTCAATTTTGCTTGGTGCAGTAGATCATGAGAACTAACTAAATTGAGGACTAGGAAATTAGGGTGCTTGAAGCAGTAGCATTAGGCTTGTTGTATTCCCTAGTATATAGACAGGAGGTGGGGCAAAGAAAAAAATGTGATGAAGAGGCACCACATTCCTTTAGGAAGTATGAACACTGTCTTAGGTGTGGGTAGAGTGGCTACAAGAAACATTACTGGGCACTATGTTTTAATTCAATGAATCTCGAAGAAGGATGAGTTACTGAGAAATAGTATGTAGGGAGAATATGGAAGTAGCAATGGAAAGTGGTATGGGGTTGAGGTCAAACAACCATGGGATGAATGAGGCTTGGAACTGGGGATACAAAGCTACAGAGCTTTCCTTCTCTTGAGTGGGGACACGTTCATGTGCAAATACATACACAACATAGACAAAGCAAATCAACATAACTCAGGGGATAGGGAAAAAGGATATTCAAAAAAAAATTTCAGGTCCAAGGTAGTGGTTAGGTTGAAGGAGAACATACATTTCCTATTATTTGAATATTCATTAAAGGAACTGGGGATATTTAGTCCAGAGGGATGAAAAGGGAATGAATGCTGTCTTCAAATATCTGAAGAGATGTGCTGTGGATGTGAGTTGTGCCTTATTTTTCTCGGCCCTAGAGGGTAAAGTTAGGTACAATGAATAGAAATTGAAAAGCAGTATTTTAAATTCAATGTCAGGAAAAATGCCTATTTGAATTCACCAAGAGTATAGGATTCTAGAAGATATTGGTTTTCCTTCCTTAGAGATATTCTAGTAGGATAGGATCAGGGATCAATCTTCTTCTTTTTCTTCTTCTTCATTGGTGGAGTTGATTACACAGCTTCAGAAAAACCTTCCACTACTGAAATTTGGTGCCTTTAAAAGATAGCAGGAAAAGAAAAGGAATAACAAAATAATACCATATTGATAATAGTATGAACTGGCTGTTGGTATTAAAATTGGGCATTTTTAGCAGCAACAGATATACACATACATAGATACAAAAAAGCCATTTTGTCCAATGATAGCTCTATAATTAAGAGCCCAATACCTAGTTCAACTCAGAAAGGAATAACTAGTCTAGCCCTTTAGATAACTGTGCAAGTTAATTAGACTTTAGGAAAAACTCTAGCTCAGTCAACTGAGTGGAGGAAAATTCTTCCCTTGTGATTGGTAATAGCTGTATGTTTGAAAGAGGATCATATATTCCATGGAGGTCACTTTCCTTTGGAAACCAGTTTTTGTAACCAAACTTTCCTCATGGCATTCTTCATGTCAGTATTTCTAAGGGAATAGATGAAAGGGTTGAACATAGGAGCAATGATGGTGTAAAAGAGGGCAAACACCTTATCTTCAATTACAGAATTGTCTGTAGGCACATAGGTGAAGATGAGGGGCACAAAGAACATGATGACCACAGTAATGTGTGATCCACAAGTGGAGAGGGCCTTATGCCGACCCTCTGATGAGTGAGTCCTCAAAGTGGTCAGGATGATGATATAAGAAATAAGTAAAGAAATGAAGGTCAAAATACTCAGCATCCCAGTGGTACCAATTAACGCAATAACAAGCGAGAAAGTATCTGTGCAGGCCAGCTTTAGCAGAGGAAACACATCACAGAAATAGTGGTCTATTTTATTGGGGCCACAGAAAGGCAGCTGAACAGCAATCAATACTTGCATGATTGAGTGAAGGAATGCCCCTATGCAAGAGGCCAACACGATAAGACGGCATACCTTTCTACTCATGATGACCATGTAATGCAGTGGCTTGCAGATGGCAACATAGCGATCAAAGGCCATTGCCACCAGGATGAAAATCTCTGCGGCACCAAAGAAATGAGCATAGAACATCTGGGCCATGCAGTTGTTGTAGGAGATGGTCGATCTCTGAGCCAATAAATCCACAATCAGTTTTGGAGCAACAGTGGAGGTGAAACAGACATCCATGAAGGACAAGTAACTGAGGAAAAAGTACATGGGCTGTTCATTGAGTTGACTAAATCTGATGGTGGTCAGGATGAAGAGGTTTCCCATCAAGATCACAAGATAGCAAAGTGAAAAGAAAATCAAACTGACTTCCTTGACCTCTTGACTATTGAACAGACCCAGCAGGATAAATTCAGTGACATTGTTTCTATCCTCCATGACTTCAGCACTGAGTTGAGTGTATAGGGAAAAGTTGGTATACCTAAAACGAGAAAAATCAAGGACAATATTAGTTATTTATTAAATACTCTCAGTGATAACCAGGTATTACTCTCAGCATCAAGGGAGAGAACATGATACTTATTTAGTTCTTGGTTCTATTTTAATATTGTCAATCAATTAGCATTACTTAAGTGCATACTATGTCCTAGAATTATATGAAAGGCAATAAATCTGGGCCTTGCCTTTTTTATTTGTTTGTTTGTTTTTTTCTTTCTAAAACTTATTCAAGAAGAAAAAAACATATTATAAACTTAAATACTAAAATGAAATACAAAGTAAGAAAGAAAAAAAATCATAGCCATATGCACAACAGAATGTTACAGGATTGAAAATATAGAGCAATAAATTTCTATCAAGAAAGACTATATAATAAAAACTACACAATGTATTCAGAACTGTTCGTCTTTGCTTCCTTGTGAATTTTCTTTTGTTCTTTGCTGTTTACTTTTCACTTTGTTCTTTTTTCCTCCTTCTTACTCCCCTCCCCAAAGGAGGATAGATAGATATAGATATATAAAGATATAAATAGGGATATATAGATGTATGTCACATACACACACACACACACACACACACATATACATAATATACATATATGCACAAATATATGTATATTATGTATATATATGCATACACACACATATATGTATTTAGATATCAATAATCATGCTCATATGGAGACACATACATTCATATAAATCTATGTATGAACATACCAAGCTTTCTTGTCCTCTGTTTCTCTGAGGATGGATAACATCTTACTTCATAAGTCCAAGTCTTTCTATACTTTTCTACGTCCACCAACTCATCAATTCCTACACACAGCCATATTCCAACCTTATACTATCTAGTTATTTTAAATAGTCTAAAACAATGTTGATTAATATGGCTGGCACAACGTAGTTTCCCTATTTTTCTCTTTTGATTAAATCAATGTTAGCTTTAACTTTGAAATCATGATTACAACCCCTGCTTTTTTTCTAATAAATTCTACTTCTGATCTTTATTTTATGTCTGTTTGTATCTCTTATTTCCTATCCCTCCTGACTCCTCTACTTTACTTCTACCCACTACCTTGCCCTCCTATTACTTAACTTGCTTCCTCCAAAGATCTCTCCCTTATCCTATCTTCCATTTATCTAGACACATTACTATGCCCCTTTATCCTATTCAGTCATGCTCTTCCCTCTAAAAATGCCTCCTCCCATACCCTTAGCCGTTTCTTTCTTTCTGAATTTAGAAGACTTGTATATCCTTCTAGATATACATGTACTATTCCCTCTTTAATGTTTTCCGAGTGAGAGTAGGGTTCCAGAACCCTAGAAAGCCTCATCACCCATCTAATTCCTCTGTATTAGTTGTTCTTCTCACACCTCATTTGTGTAAGGTAATTACTCTTTTTACCTTTTCCTAATTGATTTTTCCTTTTAAAATCATATCAAGCACATTTTTATCTTATTCTTTCTTTCAAACTACCCAATTACAAATTACAATCTTAGATATACAGTTTACATTTCCTCATATAAAAAGTAGTCTATCCTTAGAGTCCCTTGTAATTAGTCTTTCATGTTTACCTTATATTTCTCTTGGATTGTGTATATCAAATTTTCTATTAACTTCAGCTGTTTTTTGCGATAAAATTCTGAAAGTCTGGCAATTCATTAAATATCCTTTTTTGTTGGCCTGGTTCACAGGATCTCATTTTATAAAGAGAAAGATAACTATGCATATACCAGATATCTGCCGTTTATGTATCTATGTTTCTCTATCACCTAACTTGTAATAGATAAATATTGGTATATAATTGTATGTGTCATGTACCTATTTCTCTATTCATCATCTATCAATTAAGTGGCAATTCATCTCAGAAGGAAGATATTTGGCAAAGGGATGGGACGGGAATCAAACAAGTACTCTACGGAACTTTTCATTTGCACAATCCTTTTTTTTTTTTTGGGTGGGGGCAATTGGAATTAAGTGACTTGCCCAAAGTCACATAGCTAGTAAGTGTTTGAGGCTGTATTTGAACTCAGGTCATCCTGATTCCAGGGCCAGTTCTCCATCCACTGTGCTCTCTAGATGTCTCAATATTTGAGCATTCTTAAAAGAAGCTGGGAAGAACAACAGGTAAAGGTGAACAGGAAGAACATTCTGGGTTGTGGTGGGGACAGCAGTTAAAGTAATATAGTCAATAAATGAGAATGTTATGAGTGGGGAGTAACAAATAGTCCCATATACATGCCTTACAAAGGCTATGTAGGAGTGCAAATTATTAAAACAAAACAAAACTATAAAAGTGTGTGTATGTGTGTGTGTGTGTGTCTGTGTGTGTGGCGGGGCAGATTGTGAAGGACTTTAAATGCCAAAAAAAAAAATATTGATATGGAGACTATGTTGAGCTACTGGAGTTTATTAGATAAGGGAATGGCATAGGCTGATCTGTACTTTGGGACAATTACTTTATTAGTTGAGAAGAGGATGAATCAGAGTGAGTAAAGACTTGATTCAGGGAGACTTCTGCAATAGTCCAGATGTGAGGTGATTAGGCCCTGACCCAGGGTGACATCTGTGTGAGTAGAGAGGAGGACATACATGAAAGATATTGGAAAGATAGAAATAAAAAGACTTGATATCAGAATGATTTGCATGGTAGATGAGGAGTAAAAGACAATACTAAGGTTGTGAGCCTGTGTGACTAGAAGAATGGCATACCATTAAAAATAATAGGAAAATTGGGAGTAATGGAGAGTTTGGGGAGAAAACAATGAGTTCTGTTTCAGATATATTGAGTTCAAGGTTCCTTTAGAGTATCCAGGTCAAGACTGCCAGAAGGCAATTTGTTACTCATCTAGCTATGGTGAGATATTCTGGATGGATGTAGAGATCCATCCTGAAAGTCATAATTAAATTCATGAGATGTGATTGAATAAAGAGACAGCAGAATGGAAACACATAAAAAGATCCTTGGGGTACACCACAAGTCAGCGGCATCAGATGGATTGTGATCCATAAAAGGAGAGTGTTCTGATACATTACCTCACATTGATCAAATTGCTGAAGATGACAACAAGATGAAAAACTCCAATTTTGTAGAAGTTGAAGGAAAACAGCATGTTATTCCAGGGCTGATAACAATGTGATTAAGTACAGCTAATCTAGAAAAAAGAATTAATTGTACTCAAATTTCTTACATTGTTTGACTAAAAGATACTACTACTATGTTTTATAGTGGAAGGAGAATAAAAAATAAGACAATGATCATTTGTACAGGAAATGGAAATAACAATATTATTTGTAGTTTAACAAAATAAAAAAAAAGTGGCGTAAGTTTTGAGAAACTGAAGAAACTCATCAAGAGCAAAGGCTGCCTTATTTATTTCTACATGATCTCCTTCCAACCAAATGCCAGTTAGGAAATATAGAAAAGATAAAGGAAAGAAGGAAGGAAGGAAGGAAGGAAGGAAGGAAGGAAGGAAGGAAGGAAGGAAGGAAGGAAGGAAGGAAGGAAAGAAGAAGGAAGAAGGAAGGAAGAAGGAAGGAAGGAAGGAAGGAAGGAAGGATAGGATAGAAGAAAAGAAGAAAGGGAAGAAGAAGGAAGGAAGGAAGGAAGGAAGAAGAAGAAGAAAGGAAGGAAGGAAGGAAGGAAGGAAGGAAGGAGGGAAGGAAGGAAGGAAGGAAGGAAGGAAGGAAGGAAGGAAGGGAGCAAAGAGAGAAGGAAGGAAGGAAGGAAGGGCTTGTATTTAAGAAATTTTACAGAGCTTTCAACGATCCTAGGTTCCTCCCTCAAATAAAAATCCTACCTATACCCTTTGACCCAGTAATGACACTACTTGGTCTATTTCCAAAGATAATTAGAGAAAAAGGAAAAGTGTTTTTCTTCATATGTCCTTTATAATTAACTTGGATATTTATAATAGTCAAAATAACTTATTTGTTCAAAGTCATTCTTAAAAACAATATTGCTGCTGCTGTATAAAATGTTATTTTGGTTCTACTCATTTTACTCTTCATTATTTCATGCAAGTTTGCTCACTTTTTTTGTTGTTATTGTTGTTTTCTAAAATTATTGAGCTCATTATTTCTTATACCACAGTAGTATTCCATCACAATCACATACCACAACTTGTCAACCATTTCCCTAATTGATAGGCATGGCTGTAGTTTCCACTTATTTGCCATCACAAAGTGAGTTGTTATAAGCATTTTGGAACACATAGGTTCTTTCCCTTTTCCCCCTTAGATGTTCTCTTGTGCATTAAGTGCATACTCCTGAGAAATTTTATGGGGAAGCAACGAAAACTGAAGCATAAAATGAGAAGGCATGACCAGGATTCATTATGCATTATTGGAGATTCCTGCATTGATGAGACACAGATAACACTGAAAAAGAATAAAGATTATAATCTATTAAATAATTAAAAGACTACCATCTCTACAGGTACAAGGAATGTGCCTTCTACTTCTTTAACATAATAATAGATCTCATTTACATAATACGAAAATGTGAAAAATGTTCTTACTGTCAGCAGCCCTGTGAGGTAAGTAGTGTAAATATCATTCTTATTTCTAGGTAGGCAAAATGGAATTTGGAGAACTTAAGGGAAATTCTTAAATATTTAAAGGTAAAAAGTAGAGCAATTAGGTGTGAACACAAGTCCTATCCCTCCAAATTCGATGATATGCCCTTCATAATACTTTATTTCATATTTTAAAAAAACTTAAAGAGATTATTATTATTATTATTATTATTATTATTATTATTATTATTATTATTTTCAAATGTGGAAGTACATTGGTTCATCATTTGGAATCCCAGTACTGGGCATCCAAGAAATAATTTCCCAAAGGGTTTCCAGATTTATACAATAAATAAAGTAAATGAATTTTGAAAGGGTTTTTCCTTCCAATGAACCACAGCAAGTAAGTACAGGTCTTCT